AGGAAAGAGGACTATAATAAAATGAGGATGAATCCCGCACAGTTGACGTGCGCGTGTGCAGGCAGCAGTGATTAGCTGAGCAACTGAGTCAGGATAAGGACGTAATGTGCGATGTCTAGAAGACGGCAAATGAAGCCATTCCATAGGGGCAACCTGCTAGAAAACACCTGTAGGGAATGAAAAGGTATCTGACACTATGCATGTTAAGGGAGAGGTGTAATCCACTTGAACAACCTAAGCTTGTTGCAAAGCCTGTTTGACTAGTGCTAAGGCGATACATGCTGAAGAGGTAAGAGAGTAAGGAGAAGTAGGGGAGGGCTCCTCGTAAAATGTCAAAAAGGGAGAGTAACTCATGGGTTGTAATATGAAGTGATGGGTGCAGCCGATTAATATTGCCTAAGTTTTTGAAAGTCATTCAAGGTCTGCAGACGGGAGGTATCCAACACAAGGCGTTGAGGGTGCACAGTACTTTGGAAAACCTTCATGCCCAAGTAATCCAAGGGATGAGTCTGTTGAATTGTTTCAGGGGCTACAATCAAATTATGCTGAGTGAAATGACGAGTAAATGACTCAGCATTTTATCTAAAATGTCTCGGAAAGGGTGAGACAAAAGAATGTCATCCATGTAGTGAATACAGGAGACCCGTGGATACTGCTGTTGAAGAGGGGAGAGAATTTGAGCTATAAATTTTTGGCATCTCGAGATTGGGACTGTTAGCCATTCCCTGAGGCAGAAAACACCATTGAAAATGACACATAGGCTGTTGAAAATTAAAAAATGGGAGGCTAAAAGCAAAATGCTGGCAATCCTGGGGTGCAAGAGGAAGAGTGAAAAAATAATCCTTAAGATCAGTAACATAAGCAAGCTAGGAATTAGGGATGGCAACAGAGGACGGTAATCCAGGCTGCAAAGCTCCCATAACCTCCATAGTAGTATTTACTGCACCAAGGGCCTGTAGCAACCGCCATTTTTTTTTTTGAGACAGAGCCTCAAGCTGTCCCCTGGGTAGAGAGCTGTGGCATCACAGCTCACAGCAACCTCCAACTCCTGGGCTTAAGCAATTCTCCTGCCTCTGCCTCCCAAGTAGCTGGGACCACAGGCGCCTGCCACAACACCTGGCCATTTTTTGGTTGCAGCCATCATTGTTGTTTGGCAGACCCGGGCTGGATTCGAACCTGCCACCTTAGGTGTATGTGTCTGGTACCTTAGCCACTTGAGCCACAGGCACCGAACCAGCAACTGCCATTTTCCTGGCTTTTTCTTAAAAACAAAAATGGGAGTATTCCAAGGGCCAGTAGAGGGCTGTATATGACCAAGGTTCAGTGGTTCTTGTACCAAGGTCTTAGCCTTCTGAAGTTTTTCTTGAGTCAAAGGCCACTGACTCTACCCAGACTGGGTCAGAGGTTTTCCATGTAATACGATCTGCAGTCAGATGAGCAGCTGCAATCAGTGGCCTGAAAGAAAAGGCTCAAAACCAAGGCCCTGGCGTGGAGGCTGTGGTTGCAGTTGCGGAGGTTGGGTTATCCCCTGCCCATGTTTACCCAACCCAGACAGAGGATTAAAATTTTGTTTAAGCATCAGATTAGATGCAGTTTTATTTGGCTGACAGGTAGAACTCCCAATTGTTTGAGACTCCCTCCCCCATAAATTGCATGGAAGGTGTTCCAGCACAAAAGGTTGGAAAGTACCGGAATTACCTTCGGGGTCATTCCAAGTAAGGAGGGCAGAGCTTTGGAGGGGATTTTGGCTCATACCTATTCCCTGTAACTGAGTCATGGACGGAGTCAGAGGCCAGGCCAAAGGCCAATGCTGTTTTGATATGACCGAAATATCTGCCCCGGTATCAAGGATACCCGAGGATGAAAGCGTGAGCTGGAGGCATTCCTGAGAAATAGCTCTGGCCCAATAGGCATTGGAGGACCTGAACCCGTCCAGTCCTTTATTCTGACCCTTTTGAATCTGTCCACATTTTTGGAAGGGTACAAGGATAATCTAAGCAATGTGTTCTCCTGGAATGACAGACACAATACCATGAGGGGCTGCTGCCATAACTTTGATTTCTCCCTCATAGTCAGAGTCAATACTCCAGGAAGAACTTGGAGTCCCCACATGGCAGAATTGCTTTGCCCAAGCAGAAGTCCCACAGTGCCCTCAGGGAGGGGACCAAAAATGCCTGTGGGAATTCTCTGAAGTCCTACCTCTAGGGTTAATACACAGTGTGGGCGGTGGAACTGAGGTCCCAGAAAGGGATTCAATGACTTTCCAGGAAGTGGAGACTGTTGAGATGGGACTGTCTCCCCCTGGTTGTAGGTCACTGCCCCAATTATTTGTTGGGTCTGAGGTGAGGCCTAGACCCAGTTTCCTGGAGTTGGCTTAAGAGGCCTGCCCTGAGAATCAGTTTTTGACCTGCATTCATTGGCTCAATGAAAGCCACACTTGCATTTAGTACACAAGGAGGTGGGTTGTGGGCACACAGGTGTTGAAGGTCCCTGAGCATGTTGTGGATACTGCTTACTAAAATGACCAGGCTTCCCACAGTTGAAACAATTGTCATTTCTTTGGGGCCCAGAGACACGAGGGGGATTACCCTGTCAGTTATTTCCTTGCATCTGCTGATACACCACCCCAATGGGTACCCCTTTCATCCTGGCCTTGAATGCAGCCCCCTCCCGAGTATAAAAAGATCCAATCTCTGCACAGAGGCAAATATAATCTCCCAAGGAACCTTGTTTTTTGTAAGGGCATATCGCAGCTTCACAGGCAGAGTTAGCATTCTCAAAGGCTGATTGGCAAACAATCAAAGTCCTAGCCTTGAGGTCAGCGATAACACACCCCACTGCTTGCAACAGCCGGGCAACAAAATCTTGATAATTCTCATCCAGGCCCTGACCAGTCTTACTTAGCTCCCCTGTTCGGAGGTGAGGGTAGCCGCCTCCAGGCAGCTAGTGTCATCCTAGCAACCAGATTATATACAAACTGGGGCCAATTGACTTGGCCTGCAATATCAGAATAATTTCCGGCTCGGCGCCTATAGCTCAGCCGGCTAAGGCGCCAGCCACGTACACCTAAGGTGGCGGGTTCGAATCCCCAGCCCGGACCCGCCAAACAACAATGAC